CCCTCCGATGGCCTCATCCCCCTCCGATGACCCCGTCGCCCTCCGACCGTCCCCCTCCGATGGCCTCATCCCCCTCCGATGACCCCGTCGCCCTCCGACCGTCCCCCTCCGATGGCCCCGTCGCCCTCCGACCGTCCCCCTCCGATGGCCCCGTCGCCCTCCGACCGTCCCCCTCCGATGGCCCCGTCGCGCCACCGAAGGAACACCTGTGTGCTTACAGCTCCCAAGGTCTGCGTGCACAGCTCTGCTGAGCCGCCTCACCGTCTAGACCTCAGCCCCGAGCCTGTCCCTCTAGGGAGCGGCCTGCCTGCAGCGCATGCCCAGCAGGCCGGCTCGCAGGAAAGCGGCCAGCTTCGCCCTTGCTGTTCATATGTCACCAGCAGCAAAGGATCCTCTTGAGCTGGAAATGGGCCGCGTCTCTGCCGCTTCGAGCCCACCGTTCCTCCACGCTGCTCCCAGGCTATGCGGTGTCGGCGTGCAGTGTCACCCAGGGCCGCTGGCCTGGGCATCTTCCTCTGCTTGCCCTAAGTCCATCAGTGCACCGTGCTTCACAGGACAGTTTACTTCGCGGGCTCCGTGCAGGCAGGGAACCCTGGTCTTCCTTTAACGTCCCTTTGACCTGGGTGCCTATGCTTGGGAGCAGGTCACCACATTTGTGCTGCCTTCTCTGTGATGCTTGAGCCAGGGACTTGACTCAGCTTAATGCTGTCAAGCTGGGTTTCTGAGCAGAAACCAAATTGCATGTGAGGCAATTGCCCGTTTTTCTCCCTTGGGGTGCCATGCAAGTAAGGGAGTAGTGTTTGCAGCCTGACCTTATCAGCTCTGACACTCCCTCAGCTGAAGAGATAGCAGTGTTAGGGGGAGCTGGGTGGAGTCAGGTGTCCCTCTGCCTCCTGCACCCTTCCTGCCTGGGGTTTCTGCTTACAAAGCACCCGCTCTGAAGTCCTGACTGCCTACCTTGGGTTTTGTATTTGCGTTCCTTTTCCTTCCACACAGCTACTAGATTCCTCTTGACACATCTTCTCACGTGGCAAGTCTGTGCTGTTGGTGTACTTAGTGAGATTTAACCTCTGCATTAAGCCCCAAGGAGGTACTTATTATGTGCCATCGAGTCACCTGTGATTCATTGCAACCCTGTGTACAAAAGCTCTATCCAGCCTCACTGACTGGCACACCTACCCCCATTGCCCTAGTTACTGTATCAATCCATTTCATCTGGGGTCTTTCTCTCCTTTGCAGTCCCTCCACCCTGCACCCTTCCAAGTATGATATTCTTTTCCATGGACTTATCTCTCTTGGCTGTGTGCCCAAAGTATATAAGATGGAACTTCAAAATCCTAGCCTTCAAGGAGAAACTTGATTTCACCCTATCCAGGACAGACCTATTTTCTTTACATTCAGGACTCTTTCCCAGCACCTCAACTCAAAAGCATTGATTCTTCATTGTCCAGTTCTCTGATTCATGGCAAGTAATTATGAAAACCATGGGCTGGATCAGGTGCACTTTTGTCTGCAGACTGACATTGTTGCGCTTGAGCACTTTGGAAAGGTTGTGTCGTCTGCATAACATATTTTGATGAGTCTTCCTCCAATCGTGATGCTACATTCCTCTTATAAAGCCTAGCCTCCCGAATGATTTGTTCTGCATATAGATTGGAAAGGTATGGAGACAGTATGCATCCCTGAACCACTCTTTTCCCGATTTTGAACCATGCAGTGTTTCCTTGCTCTGTTCTGAGGACTGCTTCCTGGTCTGAGTATAGTTTTTGCATGAGCACAGTCAAGTGTTCTGAGTTCCCCAGGTTAGCCACAATTTGTTGTGATCCATACAGTCAAATGGCTTTGCAATAAAACACAGACATTCCCCTGGTACTCTGGTTTCTGCTAAGATCCATCTCAGACAAGCAACAGCTCTTGCTTTAATGGGACTTCTACTTGGGTGGTGAAGGTGGGTCTTCAAGAAGCAGCTGTATGGGTTGCAGTTAACACATGTGTTTTCTGCTTGCTTGTGCATGTAATACAGTCCCCACTCCTCATGCACTCCCCACTGGTGTGGGTGCCCCTTTTTGTAGACGAGGCACAGAGACATGTGTCAGTGTGTCCAGAGCAAAGTCCAAGTTCCTGACCACCCTGGCACCTTTGTGATCACAAACTGCAATTCTGAAAGAAACATCAGGGGTTCCCCATTAATTCTGACCAGGGACCTCATCTTGTGTGATCAAAGGGGCTACCCCATTCCAGGCCTGGAGGCCTGTGTGGCTAGCTGGGTACCTCTTTTGAGGATCCTGGGTTTTCCATCATGGTTCAAAGAGAGCGATGTGGCTCACCTTAGGGTGAATGCTGCCTGAAGTGTGGCGTGCAGGTGAGGGAAGTGAGGGTGGTTGGGAGAATCTGGTGGACAGGTGATTTGGGCAGAAGTGGAGCTACATCAGTACACAGGGTCTGTGTGAAGGTGGGGTGAGCAGGGAGGGGACTCCTTGCATCCTGGCAGATGTTCACGTGGGAGACTGTCCTGCTTCAGTGTAGGATCCCACGTGGATGTTTGAGGAGATGCTGGACATGTCAGGTCAGCTCAGGAGGGAGGTGCCAGACATGTGGCAAAGTGGCCCTGGGGCTGCATCCTTTGCTTGCCCTGCCTGCTCCTGTCACTTTGTCCCCTGCTTCTTGGTCCTCAGTCCTCGCTGACTTCACATGAGTCAGTGGACACATTTCCCTGTTGGTGATGTTCTCCCAGGTGCCCTCTTTCTCTGGTGTTGTTTGAATAGTGTTTGTTGTCCTAACAGCTGCACCCTTCTTAGCTCTGCTCACAGGGCACCCGTCTGCAGGCCATCTGCCTGGCCGGCATCTGCATTTTCCAGGCTGGGTTCTGACATCACCACTTGTTCTCTAGATTGTTATTGATCATTGTTTGCCTGCAGACTTGGGACAGGATGTGTGGCTGGCCCTGTTGGAGTGTCCAGCAGGGCCAGTGGGAGTATGCGATGGGCCCGCAGAGATGCACCTGTGTGTGTTGGAGGCCAGCTGGGAGAGAGCTGACCAGCAGAGGAACATGAGCAGGGCCGGTCTTGAAAGACTAAGGGCAGGGGCAGGGCCTCTCTGCAGAGCCAGTCCTGGGCTGAGAGAGTGGGGCCCAGCTGTGAGCTCTAGTGGTCTGGCATGTGAGCTGGTGAGCCGTGAGGAAAGGAAGGCAGAGGGGACAGTGTGACGAGGAGGAACGCTCACCCAGAGCGTCTCCTGGTCCATCGGCTCTCTCTTCTTACAGTGGAGGTTTTGCCTCAGTTGTCCCTTGAGGGTATGGGCGGCTCTGGTCTCTGGTAGACTGTGGCCCCAGGGAGTCTCTCTTATAAAAATGCTAGCTAGGTCCCAGAGGTTACAGGAAGTGGAAGCAATCTCAGAGATAGTTACCCAAAGGGTAAACCACAAGGGTCAGCTGGAGCAGCCTGCTGTACCTGGATCCAGCATGGCATTAGGTGGGACTGCCTGGGGAGAGGGGACCTCAGAGACCAGGGGGTGGGGTGTGCATGTGTGCGTGCGGCTGGCTGCCTGGGGAGGAGCCGTGGGGGAGGAAGTATGCTGCCCTCGTAGGTTTCTCCCTCACTGCATGCTGTCTTACAGCTGGATCAGATCTGCATCTCTTTTGACGAAGGCAAAACGACGATGAATTTCATCGAGGCCGCACTGCTCATTCAGGGCTCTGCTTGTGTCTACAGTAAAAAGGTGGGCTCGTGCTGAGACCTGCAACGGCCCTGGGGTGTGTCCTCCTCTGACTGACCTCCCAGCACCTCGGCCCCTACTCCCGATTCCTTGAAACACCCAGCAGCAAGCTTGGGTTGGAATTGGGTTTGCGTGCCTGAGAAGACTGGAAGCTGGAGTACTGTTGATCCCTGTAGGAATGTGCAAAGCAAGGGCAGAGTCAGGGTGGTCACAGGGGCCAGCAGAGAATCCCCAGGGGTGGTGGAGGTGGCACATGGCTGAGTTTGAGGGACTGGGGTCGCAAGCACAGCCAGGCAGGGGATCTGCATGGACTGAGAAAGTCTGGTGGGAGGAGCAGAGAGAACAGGACTTGACCAGCAAAGAAGCAGGGTAACCTGAGCCCTCCCTGTGGAGAACTTCAAAGGCTGGTGTGTGTGCGTGCGCGCTGGCATGTCTAGGCGTACATATATGTTTCTTCAGCTGTGTCTGCGTGGAGTTTTGCACATGTGCGGGGCATATGCAGTCCTTAGAAGGGAATGGGGTCAAACCCGTTAGTGCAGTGGAGCCCCCTGGTTTGCTTTGAGCTGCATCTGTAGTGGTAGAAGTGACAGGATTGTGCCTGCAGTGAGGTGTGCCCCAGCCTGTTCAGGGGGTTTTAGGGACCAAGGGGGTGGCCATCCTCATGTGTGCCCTGCTGGCAGGTGGAGTACCTCTACTCACTGGTGTACCAGGCCCTCGATTTCATCTCTGGCAAGAAGTGAGTACCAAGGGTGGTGTTGGAGGTGGAGCTGGGAGGCCCCCTCCTCCAGGAAGCCCACCTGTGGACCCTTTATCCTAGGCGGGCCAAGCAGCTGTCCACTGTGTCTGAGGATGAGGCTGCTGGCAGTGCTGGCCCTGGAGCCCCCCGAGAGGTAGAGGATGAGGTGAGCTTCTTGGTGAAGGGCTGTCCAGGCCATGTGGCTCCTGATTCCGACCACCCTGTGACTGGAGTTTCCCCTCTAGTTTGTATCCCTGGATGAGCTGCCCAATGACCGGGTCTGTGTGGACATGAAGAATGACCAGCCTTGCAATGTGAGCAGCTTTCTCAAGACTGTGCTGGGTGTTGTGCTGGGGGAGGGGCCACGGGCTGTGCCCTGTCCTGTGGATTGCCCACCCCAGAGCTGAGGGACACCTCCCTCATATCAGCCCTGGTCCACACAGGAAGTGGTCATTGTGCCTCTCATGCCCATGGCCCTAGTGGCCCCAGATGAAGTGGAGAAGAACAGACACCCCCTGTACAGGTCTGGTTGGTCTGAGGTCGGGAGGGTGGCCTGGGAGGGGTACCCGAGAAGTCTCTGAGCATGCACATCTCTGCTGACACAGCTGTCAGGGGGAGGTCCTGGCCAGTCGGAAGGATTTCAGGATGAACACCTGCATCGCCCACCCCAGAGGGGCCTTCATGCTGGAACCCATGGGCATGTGCCCTGAGGACACGCTGGTGCCGAGGACCGAAAAGGGTGAGGGACTTCACTGTCCTGTTCCCTCAGGAGGGTGCTCCCTCAGGGGTCTGTGCTGGCCTTCACCTGGGTGGAAGACCACTCCATCCCCTCTGGACAGTTGTCAAGGCTTTTCCCTGTCTTGTGTCCCTTGACCCTGACTCTGAGCTGATCGGGTCACAGCATGCTGTCAGGATTCCAGGGTGGGTGTTTGTGGGAGGAACTCGGCTGACCTTGTCCCGTGTCCTGTCTCTGCAGACCCGGGGGTTGTTGTTGAGGAGCCGCCAATGGAAGTCACTATGTGTGGGAGCCCTGGCTCTTCGCCCATCTCCTCCCCGGAGCCAGGTGAGGGCACCCAGAGAGCATGGGGGGGGGGTTTACTTCTTCCAAGGTGTATTGTGAAGAGCAGTGGGCAGAGCTGACTGGTCCTTGAAGTCTGGCCAGAAACACTGGGCACCCCTTCTTACCCTCTCCACCCCTAGCTGATCTCTCCCTAGGGGTATTCCCTGCACCCCTCTCCTGGGCTCCCTGGAGTTGAGGGCTTTCCACTTCTGCGCCCCCAGAGGACCCGGTACCTAGAGGAGAGGAGGGAGACCAGGCAGAGGAGCCAGAAGAGGCAGGTGTGGTGGCTGATCTCCCTGAAGCCACGGTCCCTGAGGTCCCGGCACCTATTAGTCCACAGCAGGTAGGACCTCACTGGAACCCAAGAGTCAGTGCCACCTGACACGTGCTGGCCTGGCATCCACTCCTCTCCCTTCCCCTCCCCTGCTGCCCTGGTGTCCACTCACCCACCCATCTTTACCTGCTGTCATAGCAGTAGAGGCTAATGGGGGGTGAGGCATCGCTGTGGCTGGTGGTCCCTGCCCTTCCTGGCCCTTTGTCTCTGGGGAGTGGGGGGGGCTCCCGGCCTATTCTCCTGATGTCAGGCCAGCCCAGAAGGGGACAGGTCTGGAAGCTGGCACCAACCCTCTGCCCAGCGGTCAGTAGGTGCATGTATCTGTCTAGTTTTTTCTCAGTACAGCCACCAGCAGCTTGTAAATCGCTTCCCTAGAGTGTTTTTCTTTTACTACTTACATTCTACTCGTTGAACTACTTGAAGCTCCTGACCCCGTGCCAGTGGGCCAGGGCCCAGGGTGGAGACGGGGTCTGTGATGTTTCCACAGAGTGCAGACCAGGCCCAGAGGTACATGCTGCGTGCCAGGGACCAAGAAGAGCCCCTCTCCCAGATGACGGTGTGTGAGGACCTCTCCCCCACTGGTGCCCACCCCCCCCCACCCCTGCTGTCCTGGTGTCCACACTGGATTTTTCCTCCTCTCCTGCTGTCCTGGCATCCACTGCAGCCCCTTGCTGGCTGCCTCCCTGCCCCTCCAGTCCTTTGCACTTGTGTCCCTATCCAAGGACTGTTTACTCCTAAATTTGAACCCCTCTAGCAGGGTTCAGGGATGTGCTCTGCTCCCACCCAGCATGTACTTGTGCTCTGCCCAAAAGGCCCTGGACCCCTGGCAGAGCCTGGACCCCTTTGACTCCCTGGACTCAAAGCCCTTCAAGAAAGGTAACACAGGAAAGGGCTTTTGGGGAACAGTGTGGGTGTGTGGACTATCCTCCTCCCTTGCTTCTGGAGAAGTGACTGGGTCCTGTAGGTGGGATCTAGGACAGAGTTCCCGCTTACTTTGCAGGTCGGCCATTCTCTGTGCCCCCATGCATCGAGGAGGCTCCGGGACAGAAGCGTAAGAGGAAACGTGCCACCAAGCTGCAGGACTTCCACCAGTGGTACCTGAGTGCTTGTGAGTGGACAGTGCTGAGGGCAGAGGTGCTTGTGTGGACAGGGTGCTGAGGGTGGAGGGTGCCTGTGGATCAAGTGGGAAGTGGTGTGGCCACTGCTGACAGGCAGGGGAAGCACTTACAAGGTCTTGGTGGACCCCACTATTTTCTCCCAGATGCTGACCATGCTGACAGCAGGAGACCAAGGCGGAAGGGCCCGTCCTTTGCAGGTGAGGTGCAGTTTCAGTGGGCCAGCAGTCCTGGGGCTGACCGCTGTGCCTTGCACTTCCTGCCTGGCCCGTTGGAAAGGGTGGGACAGGGCACACAGGAGCCCTTCTGTTTGCGACCTATCTGCAGACATGGAAGCCCTGTACTGGCGGCATGTCAAGGAGCAGCTGGAGGCCCTCAGGACGCTGCAGAGGAGGAAGGTCAGTGTACGCTGCAGAGGAGGGAGGCGAGCATGCCTGGGAGGCTACAGTGCCTCACCAGGCTGCCTCTGGACAGGTGGGCCAACAGTGGCTGCCACAGACCAAGGAAGGCCTATGGCCTGAGGAGGAGCAGCAGGTAGAGGACTCCCTGGAGCACCTGGAGGCTGAAGGTGAGGGCCTGCGGGCGGGGTTTGCTGGGTACCTGCTGCTTAACCAGCACTGCACCTGCTAACAGCCTAACCTCTCCAGACGGCTTCTTAGAGTCCGAGGACTACTTGGAGCCTGAGATGAGGCCCGGAGAAGCAGATGACCTAGGTAAGTCTAGGAGCAGGCAGGAGGGCAGGAAAGGCTTTGGAGCTCAGCCCAGTTCACAGCCACTGTCCCCTAGATGCAGAGACCAGGCCGCCGACCCTAAGCTACGAGGAGCTAGTCCAGAAGAATGTGGTAGGCCTGGGCAAGGGCAGGCCAGACAGGGTGGGTGCCCTGGCTGCACGGGAAGCCAGGTGTGGGGTGGGAGGTCTGGTCATACGGTAGGCTGCAGACCCTCTCTGTCCCAGGAACTCTTCATAGCCACCTCCCAGAAATTTGTCCAGGAGACAGAGCTGAGCCAGCGAATCCGAGACTGGGAGGACACCATCCAGCCCTTGCTCCAGGAGCAGGTAAGTGGGCTGGGCACCTCCTGTCAGCCTGGGGTGCATACAGTACCCCTTAAGAGGGCAGCCCCCAATAAAGACCCGAGGCCTTATGCTGGAGCCTCTTCCCTCTTGCAAGGGCTCCAGTGAAAACTTTGGGCCTCCTGTGCATCCATTTGGGGTTGCGTGGCCCTTGGTGATTAAGGCCTCCTGCCTGCCCACCTGGGGCTGGCTGCCCTGTGGACTGAACTCCTCCCTGGTACAGGAAAAGCACGTGCCCTTTGACATCCACACTTATGGGGACCAGGTGGTCTCACGCTTCAGCCAGCTCAATGAATGGTGTCCCTTTGCCCAGCTAGTGGCTGGCCAACCTGCCTTTGAGGTGTGTCGTTCCATGCTGGCCTCCCTGCAGCTGGTGAGTGGCCCTGGGGGAGGTGGTGTATATGGTAATGGTCCCAGAAACCTGGCTGACACTGCCTCCCCTCAGGCCAATGACTACACGGTGGAGATCACCCAGCAGCCAGGACTGGAGGCCGCTGTGGACACCATGTCCCTGAGGCTGCTCACACACCAGCGGGCCCACAAGCGCTTCCAGACCTACACAGCACCCTCCATGGCTCAGCCCTGAGAGAGAGCACCGATGGACAGAGGGATGGCAGCCCCGAGCTCCACGTGTGCAGGATCCAGTGTTTGCTGCCTGGTGGCCCAGCTTAATAAGGTGGCATTGCCACCCCTGCCCCCCAGCCACCTTAACTGTCATGTGCACACAGAGCTGCCCAGCCCTGCCCCCAGCAAGCCACCAGGCTCTTCTGGCCCGAGCTGAGTGCTGCCTGCACACCCCACACACACACACGCATCTCCTGGGCTCCTGTTTAATGACATGTGGGCACCATGGTCAGCCCAGGACACTCTGGAAGGTGGCCATGTGGCGCTGCACGCTGTCGGTGATCTGCTCAGCTGACTTAGCGCGGCCGTAGTAGTCGGTGAAGAGGCCATCAGGGTTGAGCAGGTAGATGGTGATGGAGTGGTCCACGATGTAGTCCTGGTCCTCATCCTTAGGGCCAGCTCTGTAGTAGACGCGGTAGCTCCGACAGACCTGAGCTACCTGCTCAGGAGATCCAGTGAGACCCAGCAGCCGTGGGTGGAAGTCCTGCACATACCGGGCCATGGCAGCTGCGTCATCACGCTCAGGGTCCACGGTGATGAAGACAGGCTGCACGGGTGGCAGGCTGGGCCGGGCCTCCAGCTGCTGCACGACCTGCACCAGCTTCTCCAGCTCCTCCGGACAGATGTCTGGGCAGTGGGTGAAGCCAAAGTACATCAGCACCCACTGGCCCCGAAAGTCAGCTTTGCAGCAGGACTGGCCCCGGTGGTCCACCAGGCGGAAGTCACCCTGACCCACTGCTGCCTGGCGCAGGGCTTCTATCCGCCTTTGCTGCTGCTGCCGCTGCTTCTCAGACCGGACAGTCAGCCAGGCCCCACCAAGCCCAGCTCCAAAAAGAGCTGTGACGAGCAGCCTTGTTCGTAGCCCAGGGCCCTGGGCCCGGCCCCGTCCTGGCGCCCCTGAGGGGCCCTGCTCTGATAGCAGTCGGAGGCAAAGGTGCGGAGCTCTGCTCCCCAGGGCCCGTGGCCTGCGCTGGGAGAGGCTCTGCCATGCCCTGAGTGCCCTGGCTGGCAGCATGGAACGGAGGGACCTGTGGAAGAGAGAAGTGTCAGCCATGGGGCAGGGCGGGGGTGCCTCCACCTCCCCTCTGGAGAGGGCCCCACCCGACAAGCTTAGCTGGGCTGGGCTGCACCCCCACCTCCAGTGCTCACGCTGAAACATGCAATCCTGGCCTGGCCCTTCACCTGAGGACCTTGCGCTTCCTGCTGCGGCCCAGGGTTCTAGGCGCGCTGATACTTTTGTAATAAACTCCATTTTTTGGATTAAGTCTTTGACGTGCAACTCTCACAGACTGGCCACATCCTCTGCCCTTTGCACAGCGCGCAGGTGTCCCAGCTTTCTGGAGATGTGCGCGCTTCCCGGGGTGCGAGCTGTTCCCGAGGCCCCTAGTTCTGGGGCTCCGACCCACCCTCTCCCGCGCCGGCCCGCGTTGCTTGTCACAAGGCTCTGGTTTTGCTGAGCCTGCCTTTAGAAGGCGCCGGTTGCAGTCGGAGCAGCGGCCGCCCAGATCCCGGAGCCCCCGGCCCTCCCCGGAGTTCGCGCGCAAACCTCGCAGCAGAGGGTCCGTGGACCGTAGACTTCAGCCTCGAGTGATCGGGACCAAGTCCGTGGGCTCCCAGCCGCCTCTGGATTCCGCTGGCTGGAGGTCAATTAGAGTGGCCGCGCTGGGCGCCAGAGCGCATGCGTCAACGGCGCCGTCAGCGTCACCGCGCAGGCGCAGGCAGGCGGGGCGGCGGCCCAGCTCAGCGGTGCGCACGCGCACAGGGTCGCCGGGGTGGGGTCTTCCTGTGGCTTCAGGTCATGTCCCGCGGTGCCCCCTCCCTCCCGCTCCCGGGCGCGACACCGACTCAACGCGGACACGGGCCGGGCTCTAGGGTTTTATTGCTGCGCCTCCGGGCGCGCGGGCGGCGGCAGGACGAGCTCGGCGAACGGCGAGGGCGCGGCGAAAGGTTCGCGGTCCGAGAGCACCAGCGCGCCCTGTAGGACGCGGCGCTGGGACTGGCTGAGCGCGGGTCCGTCCCGGTGCACGCGGAGCCACGGTGTCCCTGCGGGCAAGCTAGGGTCAGCGGCCGGAGACCCAAGAGGGGTCGGGGGTCAGTCCAGCGGCTGGGGCTCACGGGAGCTCACCACGGCGCAGCCTTTGACCCACGACCACCAGCAGCTCGGCGCCCACGCCGAGCCGGAGAGACTGCCCCGCGCGGCTGCGTCCCGCCCCAAGCTCGCGCAGCACGAGGGCCAGCGGCAACGCCCGGATGAGCTCCACGGTGCCTGCGGGGAGAGGGCGCTGGACGGGCAGGGCCTCCGGGGAGGCCCGGAGGCTCTAAGGGGAGGCCAGGGATGCTGGTGGTCCCTCTGAGCCCCTCCCGCGCTCACCATCGGCAGCTGCGTGCAACTCTTCCTGCTGTTGGGCACGGGGAAGCAGCTGCCGGCGCTGCGCGGGGGTCCCGGAGCACAAGGCTCGAGCCAGACTCGCGTCCACGCCCTGTGCTGCGAGCATCTCCTCGAAGCGGCTACGGGCTGAGTTGTCGTCCAGTACCGCGGCCAGCCGGGCAGCGCCCTCCGCCTGCGCCTCCGCGCGTCCGCAGAGCCACAGCAGGGTACCTCCTGAAGGTGGCGGGTTTAGGGCAACTTAGGCTGGGGAGCTGGGAGAGGGTGCCTCTGCCCTTGCGACCCTCTGCTCACCGAGCTGGGTGACCAGGTCCCGAAGGTCTGGGGGCCCCGTGCCATCCAGGCACAGCAGCGCCTCCTCTACCTCCAGTGAGTGGCCAATATTGCGACCCAATGGATTGTCCATGGAGGTCAGGGCAGCAGCGACCCGAATCCCCAGGCTGGCCCCCACTTCTACCTGCAGAGACACAGATGGCCTTAGTAGACTCTGCTGGGCCTTGGGTCACCAAACAGGAGTGCTATACTCCAGCGCTGAGAAGGCTTGGGGTGGGGGTGGGGGAGACACCTGACAGCTACACTTGACTTTGGAATAGGGAAAGAGGTGGGTGGGGCCATGGCCTGGGCTGCACCAGAGGAGGGAGAGGTCAAGAGTGCACGGTGGAACCACGAGAGGAGACCCACCTACAGGGAGGCCAGAGTCCTTATCCACACAGGACCACACAGAAGGGTCATACACACATATGGGGACCCCGCAGTTGGGACACACCTCCCAGAGCCCAGGTGCTCACCAGTGCTCCAGCAAGTTCCCGGGCCTGCACCTCTGTGGGGAAGACGGCAGCCTCACCGAACTTGACATCCACTACTAGAGCTGTTAGTCCCTCCACGGCCTTCTTACTGAGAATGGAGGCTGAGGAGGGCATGAGAGGCTGGGGGAATGGGGCCTCCTGGGAGGAGGGTCAGTGCCCCCAGGATGTGGGGATACTGATCTAGGAATTGGGGGTTAGCCATGAGATGGGTTACCAATAGACTGAAGTCTTAAGTCACTGCCCCACACACACTTTGAGCTGAGGGTCAGACATCCTGTGATTCAGAGGCCTTGACCTTGAAGATCAAGCCAGATCATGGAAGTCAGGCACGTGTGGGCCACTTGGTTTAGGGGAAGCAGTCTGTGAACTCTGGATAAGATGACCCTGACACTGGAAGGTGGTGGTCAGAGATGTGTAATGTGTTGGAGGTAGACCCTGGGTTCTGGGGTCAGGTCACCTGTGACAAGGGGCAGGCTATCCACAGTGGCTGTCACATCCCTGGCTGCGTACAGAATTCCATCTGCAGGAACCAGCTTCTCACTTTGGCCCACGATGCAGCACCCAACTTGGTCCAGGAGCTCTTGCATCTGGTCAGGCAGCCCACACACATGAGGACTAGTGAGCCTACCCAATGTCCTCTTGATTAGTAACCCTATCACCGACTCTGGTCATCAGCAACTGTGACATGTCCAAAACCATGACCCTTCATAGCCATAAATGTCAGGAGACATCAGTGACTGGGCCGTCAGTGATTCTGACCAATGTCCTATGACCCATGGGTTATCAGTGGTTTTGACCAATTCTCTATTGATCCTGATCAAGGCCCACTGATGACCTTGACCAAAGCCTATTGGCCATGAAAAAAAAAAGTTCTGTGAGTGACCTGGATCAGGTTCTACTTTATGACCTGTCAATTTCTGGCTGTGTGTGGTGTCCCCATCTATGGCTCTGGTTAGGGAATGGCTTGCATACCTGTTCTGGAGTCTGGATGACAGTGAATCCAGGGATGGACTCCAGCTTATCCAGGGTGCCCCCTGTGTGCCCCAGCCCTCGTCCACTGATCATTGGTACCTGTAAGCAGGGATGTCTAGTGTACCTGCTGTCTCTCCTGTATTCTATGCTGTGTCCTCACCACTCCTGGCTTGGACTTAAGCTGGAGTTAGGAAGCATTTTCTAAACTCGTGTGATGGGTACCCAAAGGATGAAAAAAGATTGTCTTTGCTGCTGGTGGTGGGGAGGCCAATAGCCTGGTTTTAGGGAGTGAACATTTGAACTCAATTCCATGCTCTCCAGGCCTCGTACTGTCTGGGTACAGAGGAGGAGGGGACTTGGTCCTATGGGGTTTGGGCTTGGAGGGGGGGAAGCCAGACTGTACTATGGGGCTAGCTGAACTGGAAGCCTGGGTCCTGCCCTTGGGCTCTAGGCCAAGATGAGTGTTGGGAGGGGCCTGCTGACTCAGGAAACAAGGTTGCTTCTAACCTTGCAGCCACAGGCGGCCAGGGCAGGTGCCAAGACCAAGCTGACTTTGTCACCCACGCCCCCTGTGGAATGCTTGTCCACAAGCTGCCCCTTCCAGGCCTCAGGCCACTCCAGCCGCTGCCCGGACTCTGCCAGGGCCCGGGTCAGCGCCACGGTCTCCTCCAGGTCCATGCCGCGCAGCCGCATGGCCATGAGCATGGCCCCTAGGTGGGAAGTAGGCAGGTGGGCGGTCGCAAGGGTCATGGGGTCCCCACACGCGACAGTCCCTGCAGACTCCGATTAGTGGTGTCTAGGTCCAAGTTGGGGTCGGGTTGCCCAGCTTTCCCCACGCACCAATCTGCACGCCCTGTGCGCTTCCGTCCACGACTGCGCGCACGAAGTCCCTGATGTCCGCCTCGCTCAGGCGCTTTCCATCTCGCTTCAGGCAGATCAGTTCCGGGAGCTGCTTCGGCTCCTGAGGGGCGTCCGCTGAGCCCTGACTCCCTACCCCCTCGGGAACACAGTAGTGCCGTGGGGTCCCTGAAGCTGCCATCGCTCTAGAAAGGTTTGAAACACACCTGGAATTCCCAGCAGCGCGTGCCCCTGTCCTGCCCTTTGCCTAAGTGTTTCTCCCTCGCTCATGTTCTCTGTCCCGCGTCAGTGTCTCTGTCTCGGCTCTCACGCATGACCCCTGCCCCATACCTGTCCCGCAACAGGGGCCACGTCTGTCCGGGCTGCTCCGGATACCCAGGGTCGCTCCAGCAGCGCACCCCACGGCTGACCAGGCAGTGGAAGGCCCGCGTGTGGCCAATGGCCGAGGGAGGGTGGTGTCAGGGAACGCCCGGCCACCAGGAGTTGGCCCGCCCAGTCCCTGGCTCCCATTGCCCCAGCCCTTTGTGGGCGCGGATAGCGCGGGTACACAGAGAGGCGGACTCAGTATACTGCTTTGGATGCTTTAAGCCAAAATTTGTGCGTTCACGCCCGTCCCGCGGGTCACTTGTCCGCGTCCGTCGTGACTGGCACCTGATATTCTGAGTGCCGGATCCCGAAGCTCCAGCCGCCAGTCTTCCGGTACTGTGGGCAGGAGAGACGGCTGACACTGCAGACCGATTGCCCAGCTCCGCGTGTCCCGGACTTCAGACCCTGGGTCCAGGGTCGGAACCCTCAGTTCCAGCCCCTGCCCTCCACCCCTGGTGTCCAGGCCACCTTTTCCACGTTGTAGGCCGCGGGCCCTGGCTTCCTGGTGCTGTCTTGGGGAAGTGACGTGCGCGCCAGCATCGTGAACTGGGGGGCCCGGGACTTGTAGACCCCCGGGTTCACCACGTGGTAGGCGCAGGGGCCTGGAGTCTGTGGGAAGGCAGCAGAGCCGTGGGTCGGTGCTGACCCGCTAAGCCCTCTGTTGACGCCCCACTGCTGAGCCCTGGCGGCCCCTTCACCTTGCTGAGGTCCTCGAAGAAGGCACCCACTGCGCTGCGGCCGTACATGGAGTAGTTTGGGGCGGACACTTTGCCGACGACATGGGGACCCAAGAGTGAGGGCATCGTGTAACTCCCAGGGCCTAGAGTGGAGCATCTGAGGGCAGACTAAGGGTCCCCTATGGACCTGAGTGCCCCACAGGCCCAGCGCCTGCAATAGACCCTTTGGGCGGCATACATCTGAGGACCCAGGGGTGCGCAGGGCCCCCACCGGATTGGTGTGGGTTTTTCCACCTCACCTGGGGTTTGCTGCTCAGACTGGACGCCCCAATCTCGGGAAGCCATGGTGTGGTGAGATGCGCTTGGGTACGCCACGTTCCCAGCTCGCTCGGGAAAATACCTACCTGCAAATGGGTGAGGGGTGTGGGCCAGAACGGAACCGCGCGGGGAGGCAGGGTTGGCTCCTGGGACCGAGGGATTCAGACTCAACGATTTGTCAAAGCCCCATGAGAGGGTTCTGGATTTGAGATCTCAGATATGGGGTCTCAGACCTAGGGTGTTCGGGTCACCAAGAGGGTTAGGGCTCAGTGGGGGTTCCCGGGGCCACCCCGGAAGCAGCTCTGCGTTTGGGAGACGGGGGTGCCAGTGGGCCTGACCCGGTCCGGGGGTGAGGAAGCGCGCCGAGTCTCGTGGACGGCCGTGAATGGAATAGGAGGGGGCGCCGTCAGGGCCGCGCACGGTCATGTGAGGGGGCACCAGGTGGCCGGGCCCTGGGCCGCAAGTCCGCTGCTGCGTGGGGAGGCGCGCCCCGAAGGTGTAGGCGGGAGCGCGGGGCCGCGACGGGTCGTGAAGAATGTAGCCTGCAGAGCGTCCCAGCGTCACCCACCACCCATCCGGCACGGACCACCTGCCCCCAGCCACTGCCCTGCGGGACTACAGACTCCCGAGAGCGCTCCAGCCCCTGCCAGCGGAGACACTCCCTGCCCCCTACGCCCACCCTGCTTGGGCGCAGACACTTCACCCGGGTACCGGTGTTCGGAGGCAGGCTGTACTTGGGTCCTGGGCTTTTGAAGAGCGCAGCGATGGGGCCTCGGGGTCGATGTGGCCGCCAGGAGCCAACCCAAACATCAGAGCCCATGGCACCAGTAGCAAGGCCTGTGGCCAGTGGCACCTGTGGACCGAGGGGTGGTGGCCTTGGCCCTCCAGCCTGAATTCACAGGGCACGCACCCTTGAGTCCCTCTGGCTCATCTGGAGTCCAGGGGCGGGGCCCGTCCAGTCTCCCAGGCGCCAGAACCAAACAGTAGCCCTCCTCCCGTGGTGTTGGGGCGGGGCCTGCCCCCCAAACGAGTTTTGCGGGGGCGACTAGGCCCCTGATTTCAGGAAGGGGTCTCCTCAAGATTGCAGAGGGCCAGGAGACCTTTAGACACGGGGAGAGGATGTCCGGGTAGCGGCTGGTGCCTGGGCCCCAGAGCCTGAACAGATGGATGGTCTCCAGCGCAGAGCAGCTAGGAGGAGGAGGACTCGGCCGGCCCGGACTCCCAGCCCCGCCCAATCCACCTCCCAGACCCATTGTGTCCTGATCCTGCCTCCTGGCAACAGTCTGATCGCCAACCTAGCTCAGCCTCACTCCCTATACCTCTGGGCTCTGGCTCATGATTCCTCAACCTTCAGCTCAGAAACACCTGAAATCAACACTTAAGGCTGAGAATAAAGAACCAGAAAATTCACCCAGCAGCTTGATGAAGAAAGGACCTCACCGGTGTTTGATTAAGCTCGTGGAGTATGTGCAATATTTTTGGGCCACAAAAAAGTCACACAGTTCTTCTAGGTTGCAACACCCCCATGATACATCTTGAAGGATATGTACATGTACAGCCAAGCACAATCAATAAGAGTGCATCTGAATTCCAAAATCAATCTCCATAATAGTCTATGTGTTTCCTACTGCCAAAGGGGCCCTTTAGAGTAGTGAGAGAAGATCTTCACCCTGAAACCCACAGCGTCCCTTTTCAGTAGGAAGTAGCTAAGAGAATACGCCGTCCCCTTTTCCTTATGACTCAGGGTGAAGTCTCTCTCAGGGAGGAGTGATAGGGAATGGCAAAGGATACACTGACAAAGAAGATTAATCAGAACTGGCTTTGACAAGCACTGTGGCATTTGGACAAGAACAAACTGGGAGGAGGGTAGAGAGAATAGTGCAACAATGAATGAGTGGAAGCCCAAAATCTCTGTAAATGTTTATGAAAATTAATAAAATATAATTATAGAAAAAAAAAGTCACACAGTGGAGCAGAAAGATGTAATAGAACACATGATTGGAACACGCGTATTTATCAAGTAAAAAGCTCTCTAAGAGTGTTAAAAATACACCATGGACCGTTAGAACATACAGGTTTGCTTTGGATAGGATGAAGCCAGCCTGCTCGTTGGAGGCAAGGATTCTGAGGCTTCATCTGACATACATGGGGCATGTTGCAAGGAGGGACCGGTCCTTGGAGAGGGAGAATGGAGGGGCGGCGCAGGAGAGGAAGACCCTCGATGAGATGGATGGATTCAGTGATAGGGACAGTGGGAGTAGGTGTGTTAGAGACAGGTTGGCACAGGATAGAGGAGGGTTTAGGGCTCTTGTAGATAGGGTCGCTATGCGTCGCAAGTGACTCGAAGGCACATAACAACAACAATAACAAAAATCCAAACACCAACTAAATAGAGTGACAGAAACAAAAGACGACAGACAAGAGAGAAAAAGCTGGAGTTTCATGTTATCTCCTTCATTACCACTGGCACCTGTTCATATGCTGGGTACTTCCTGAAATTTTTCAGTGTCAATCAGTTCTTTCTGATCATTTTGTGTATTCCCTCTATCTTCTTTTAATGTTTTCTGGGTCATTCAATATATTTTGCCCATATCATCTCTCAATATTGTGACGTAAGGCTTAAATTTGCTTTTCAGTTTCCTCAGCTTGAGAAATGCAGAGCGAGTTCTCGCCTTTTTATTCTCCAATCCCAGCTCTCTGCAAATCCTGTTATAATATTTTGCTTTGTCTTCTCAAATTGCCCTTTGAAACTGTCTGTTCAGCTCTTTTACTTCAACATGTTTTCCTTTTGCTTTGGCTTCTTGACACTTCAGTGCAATTTTTAGAATCTTTTCTCCCCTTTTAAAAAAATTTATTATTAATTTCAATGAAAATTTAGAGACTTTGGATTTCCATTCATTCATTGTTGCCCTTTTCTCCCCTCCTAACCCTCCCTCCTAGTACACACTACCCTCTTGGAAAAGTAAAAGAAAAAGTCTTTCACTGTTTTACAAT